GGTGGCTTAAAACTCACGCTGGGCGTGTGTGCGTGCGTGCCTAAGATCCCAAGAGGAGAATGGAGGAGAAGGGATTGCGGCGTTATATATATATATATGCATGTGTGTGTGTGTGTGTGTGTGTGTGTGTATATTTATATATGAAATACACACACACCTAGGTCTTTTTAAAATTAATTTTCATTTTATAATCTTTTATAAAATTAGGTACATCTATCTCTTTATCCAAATCCTTTACAACATCAACCTTTTGAAGAAAAAGACAATAATACTATCTAATTTAAGAAAATACATGTAGGCACGAGAATATTAGGCTGTTTCAGAGCATTTGGGTTTTATTTTTCTAAAACTTGAGGTTAGTATTAACTGACAATGCCTTGCATAAATTCAAAACTCAGATTCTCTCCAACCAACTAAGGCGATTCTATAGCATTTACTTCTTCAGCCTCATCGTCTGACCTTCTCACCCTGGCATATTGTCACATAGCTGTACTCTAACCTTCAGAATATAAAAATGTCCTCCATAGTCAGAGGAAGGGAGTGGGAGCCAAAGAGAACAAAGGCATCGCATAGAAACACAGAGGGAAGGGGTGCACACGATCCACCATCTCGATCCTTGATCCCAGTGATTCTGAAGTACCCCACAACACTGCCATTCCTGAATTGACAGAAGCTACCCATAAACTCCACAGCATTCTCCTCTGCCATGTAAGTTCAAACTGGATTTCCACCATATGTAAAGAAAAGTCCTCACTGATACAACTGTGCTATGTAATAGCTGTATTACTGTGAAGTTGGGCATAAGTAATTCGTACAAGAATTTTTTAAATCTTCTATTCACAGATTTCTGTTTTCTAAACACTGTTACACAAAGTTTCTCTTCTGATATGGAAAGGTGATTGAGATGAGTAGGGCTGCATTTACTATCAATATCTCTGGTTTTAAAATAACAACAACAACAACAACAACAAAAACCGCAATAAAATAAGACAAAGATTAACTTAGATTTTGCCTGAGAGGTCACAGCTATTAAGTGCAAAGCTGGAGTTAAACTCTGGTTTTCCAAATCCAAATCCAGTACTCTAAACTCGGGGCCCTTGGTCTTCTGGTTGCAAGCTAGGGCTCAATGCAACACTTGAACACAGCTGTCAGGTCAGGGACTGGCTCTTGACAGGAAGTCTTTCCACGTGTAAATAACCACCTTCTAATTGGCTGCTTTTGTTAATGTGATTTTCTAAAATTATATTTCCTGATGCAAGGCAAACCTGTGCTGCAACTATTTTGCTTACTAAAAGCCTGTCGAGAATGGGCGACACCTTGTGGCAAAACCGTACTGACTCATGCACTACTGCTGCACATTGGGGCTAAGTGCCAGAGTGCAGAAAGAACCACCTCCAACTGCGGACTGCCTCTAACTACATTCTCTTCTCGATGGCTCTAAGTGGGCTCCAGTCCCCACCTAGCACAGAAATGGCTATGACTGCCAGGTTCCCAGATGACTTCCATGTCGGTACACCCAAAGGTCACTTCTGAATTCTCATATCTTACTTAACTCTCAGTAATGTCTGACCAGGCTAACCATACTGTTCCTGAAACCCTCAGTTTCAGCAAGACCACACAGCTTCCCAGAGCCTTTAATGTCTTTAAAAGTCCCTAAATGCTCATGAATAACAAATTTACCTTGGGGCCAGCTTGTGGCATAGTAAAGTGCTGAACTCCCACATGGTCAACTGCGGTTCAAGTCTGGACCTGGCGGCTTGAAACTCACACTGGGTGCGTGTCTATGCATGCTCAAAATACTGAGAAGAGAATGGTGAAGGGATTGCAGTGTGACCATCCCCCTGGGGGGGAGGGGTCTCACTTTTGTCTTTCTGTTTCTGTCTCTCTGGTGAGCACACATACCCTATAGCCAGTTTCTCTCCCCCAAGGAAAAAAAAAAAAAAATCCCAGGAGGCAAACAGAGGAGAATCAACTGTGGTGTGGCCATCCCCCTGGGGGGTGATTTCTCACTTTCCCTCTCACTGTCTCCTTGTCTCTCTCTGGTGAATGCACTCACCCTATGACAAAAACCTTAAACAAATTTTTAAAATTATGTCTAGCTTTGACTTTTCTATGAACTCCAGACTCACATCCTTATCCTACCTAACACATGCATTTGAATGTCCAATAACATCTCAAAATTAACATGTCCCAAACTCTGGACAGAACTACTCACTCCAAGAGCAAACTGCATCACAACGTGATGAGACCCTCTTGAACAGCAGTCCCCAACCTTCCCAGCACCAGGGACCGGCTCCTGGAGAACAATCCCTCCACGACCAGGTGGAGGGTTGCTGGGTGGGTTGGTCCCCGGATGACCCAAGTACACCACATCCACCGTGCACCCCATTCCCACCATCACATTGCTACATACAATGAAACAGTCACGCAACGATGTGGTCCCTCTCCAGTGACAATCCAGTACTGCTGCTGATCTGACAAGAGGAGGAGTCCAGGTGGCAATGAGGGTGATAGGGAGCAGCTGCAAACACAGTCACCTGCCGCCCACCCCCTCTGAGTGGCGGGGATTCGGTAGGGGTGTCCAACAGGCCACAGATCAGTCTAGGGCAGGGGAGGGTTGAGGACCCTTGCTATTGAGGATGCTTGCATACTTTCTTTCTCTCTCTCATACAAGAACACACACTCTTTATCATGAAAGAAAAAAAATGTTTAAAGGCAAGAAACAGGATGCTAACCATGGCTGCTACGGTACTCATTATTGGTTACCCAACTCAATACCATTGTCCCCTGTCCCTACACCCTTCTAGCAGGATTTGCTCTTCTCTTCCTCCTTGCCAATTGCTCTCTGGGGAGCCGTAAGGCCTGTGGCTCAGGTCCAATTCAAATATGGTAGTCCTATACAGGTCCCAAATTTAAAGCAACAAAAGAACAAAATTCTGGTCACTTTAGAGTCTATGGTGGTTTCTGCACTTCCAATTAAGACCAGAGACTCTTGGGTCAGCCCAATGGCCTGGTAGTTACAGGAACCAGATCCCACATGACCCCAGAAGCTAGAAAGATATAAGCACACCCTATTGGAGAGTGCTTTCCCCTTCCCCCCCTCTCTGTCTGGCCCTCTGTTGGCCAGTGCACACACTGGGGGGGGGGGGAATCTCCTGCAATCTTCTAGAATGTGGTACTTCTACTCTTATCTTGTTGAAGCCAACAACCCAATAATAGAGGAAAGGTGGATAAAAATGTGCTGTTGATAATGTGCTAAGCCTCCAAGTTAACCAAGTGGAGATACGCTCTACCTTTGAACTTACGTTAAATAATAAATTTCTTTTTGTTTCAGTCACTTGGAATTAATTTTCTGTTACCTGAAGGTAAAAAACACTAATCAATAAGCTAATGTTCAATGCTTCCATGATGTGGAAAAACTAGTCTACACATATGCTTAGAGTCCACTAAGTACACCTTGAGCCTTTGAGACTTTGATCAAAGGCCATTTTATTTATTTATTTATTTTTGTTTGTTTGTTTGTTTTTGGGGGGGAGAGATTTTTGCTATAGAGCCATGCACTTTCCAGAGAGACAAAAAGGGAAATATCACCCCAGGGGGATGGCCACACTGCAATCCCTTCTCCATTCTTAGGATTTGGGGCACACACGCACACATGCCCAGTGTGTTTCAAGCCTCTGGGTCTGGGACTAGAACTGCAATTGGTCAAAGGCCACTCTTAATACTCTTCCTCCAGGATACTAGCCACTCCAAATACAAACCTAGTTCATCAAACACAATTTAATTGCCAATTTCTCCTCTAGAACTTTCAGAATGACCTTGAAGCTTCTGGTGTACATCTGGGCCCTTGAATGCTGCCAGAAGCAAGATACTTATTTCACATTCATTGACTTGCACTGTCTCCTGGGATCCCTTCTGCAGCCTGAAGTGTGGCTGAGAAATGGGCTTGTTAAGATTGGCTTGAAGTGTGATCCCATCATGAGTTCATTGGGATCTGTGTTGCATGTAAGGCTATCTTTCCTGTTCTAAACCTTCCCTTTTTTATGTACATATATTTTGAAAAATATGAATAAACATGAATTTTTTTTAAAAAGTGATCAGATCTAAACTCTTTGTGAAGCACTTACCATACATCTCTGTCCATATTACTTTTACAACTATGGCTGCTTCAGACCATCAGTTTCTAAATCCAGATCTTAGCATAAAGGCTTAACATTTGCTAGGCAGAGTTCTAAGCATTTCACTTACTTTCCCAGAGGGCTCATGCTCCCCAAAGGGACATACATAGGCAGGCTGCAATCCCCTTCTCCTCCACTTCATCCTGCCAGATTTGAGGGCCCCACATATATGCACCCAGTACGTTTCTCAAGCAGCTGGGTCCAAGACTGTACCAGCAGTTGCCATGTGAGATCTGGTTGTCGTTACATTTATTAGTGCTTTTACTCCTCACAACAAATCCCAGAGATAAATATTATTCTATCCACATTTTGCAGATTAGGAAAATGAACCACAAAACACTTAACTTGTCCAGAAATTGTGTGCCATATACACTGTAGAACCTGGATTCAAATCGAGGCAGCAGCTAACCGAATTGAAAGTGTAACTGCGAATGCAAATAACTGATCGCAGGGGACACACACCAGTTACACAAACCACTGCGTTTCTAGGCGCTGATCTACCCAGAGATGCTTGTTCCTCCAGCGCCCGGGGCCAGATGGATTAGGGGATAGGGACTAAGCCTGAGACTTAATAAACCGCTCAGCCCTTTCCCAAAATCAGGAGTTTGTGGGGTGGCCCTGTGGCCTAGCGCCGGAAGGACTGGGGCGGGCCGGCGCAGTGCGGGCGCCGGAGACCCGAGGAAGCCCTGGCGGCCCCGGCGCCCGCACGTAACAGAGCTGGGTGCCAGCTGCCCTGGGCGTGTCATCGCAGGCGGGCCGGGAGCCGGGCGGCGGAGACACAGCAGAGGACGCCTGACAGCAGGAGCACGTGAAACCGCAAGAATGGCGCGGACACCAGCGCTGCAAGGCTACACTCCAAAGCCGGGCCGGAGA